GGGCGCCGACCTTAGAGGGCGCCAAAATGGGTTGGAAAAATAAATTGAAAGGTTGAGGGGGGTGCAAATCGAGAGTTTGAGGGGGGGGGGGGTGCAAATCGAAATCTTGCGGGGGGGGAGGAAGGGGGTTCAAATCGAAAAGTTTGTCCCCGGGCGCCGGGAAGGGTCGCTACGCCACTGGGGGGTGACACCATTAAGTGCCGCACCGGGTGACACCCGACCTCGCTACGCCACTGGCTATTGTCAGCTTTACGTCGTTACAGTTTTGGTTGACATGATTGATCTTCGTCCGTCAAACATGACTATCTTTTAGCTCCCTGGCTATCTTTTAGCTCCCTGTCTATATTTTAACTCTCTATTTTTAGCTCCCTGACTATCTTTTAGCTCCCTGAATATCTTTTAGCTCCCTGACTATCTTTTAGCTCCCTGACTATCTTTTAGCTCCCTGAATATCTTTTAGCTCCCTGGCTATTTTGCAGCTACAATTCATAAAAATGTTATCAGTGGCTATAATTTCATTTTATGCTTCATCTTGTGTAAATAATCTTACAATTAAAATATAAATAAATTGTATTTTACAAAAATGTTTTTGTGTAACTAGATTGTACAATTAAAATGAATATTGGCAAACGTTTTAGCTTACGCAATAATATCTTACTATTAAAAATTTAAGAAAAGAAAACAAATTAGTTTTACTTTCTCGTACATACGAAGTATAGAGAAAGTCATGTAATCGTGCAAAAAAAAAGAGATTTTTACAAATTTCGACGTTTTACACCTCACTGATATGGAAAAACATAATTTTGCAATCTTGTCCGTATGTATGTGTGTGTGTCTGTGTCTGTAAACACGATAACTTGAGTACCGTTACAGCTAGGTTGATGAAATTTCATATATAAGTATTTTATCAAAATCGTAGATCCGTATCAACTTTTGAGCGATTTCAGATAACCAGAAGTGGTACTTTCTTTTTCTTTGAATTTTTCAAAAGCCTATAACTTGAGTACTATTTCAGATAGATAAATAAAATTTCACATGTAAGTAAAAGATCTAATTCTCTATCTTCTATCATATTTTGAGTAATTTCCGTTGACCGGAAGTACTAATTTACGCTATTTCCAATTTCTCATAAACGCATGTAAATTTATAAAGTACTAATAATATTGCTCTCTATTATGCACATTTTGTTTTGGCGTTTGTTTGGTGCGCAATTCTTTTTTCTACTAGATTCTATTCTTTTTTACAAGCTTTTATTTAACTCACTTCCTCTGTCTGTCGTCAGTCTGTCTAGACGGAAACGCAGGAGTGAAAATTCGGACAGTTCTACTTGACCGATACGATTCACAGTTGGCACGTTGGTCAAGACATGAAGACAATGCAATCTGAAACTAAATTTGACTTAATTGGATGCCTAATTAATTTTTTATGAATTAATAAAAATTTGGACCGAATTAGTAGGCATGTCTAGCCAACCACACCACACGCGTCATCACCTTCAATAGCTGCGCCATCACGTAATGGCTGCGTTCAAAAACCATTGCGCGCCTACTGAACGTGATGTTCAGTAGGCGCGCAATGGTTTTTAGTCATGTAACTCTATTGTAAATAAAACATATAAAGTACTGAAAAAAAAATTCATAAAAAACGTTTTAATAACAAGCTTTTATGTAATGATGCACTAAAAAGTAGAAAATAAATTATAGACTACTATTTAAATAACTATAAAGAAAAGCGTGGGTGTCTTCCTTAACATTAGTAAAGGTATCCAATAGATACTAAAGTGACCCACGCTTTTCTTTATAGTTATTTAAATAGTAGTCTATAATTTATTTTCTACTTTTTAGTGCATCATTACATAAAAGCTTGTTATTAAAACGTTTTTTATGAATTTTTTTTACAAGTTTTTATGTGACTCGCATCCTCTGTCTGTCTAGATCGAAACGCCGGAGTGAAAATTCGGACACTTCTACTTGACCGATACGGTTCACAGTTAGCACGTGGGTCAAGACATGAAGACAATGCAATCTGAAATTAAATTTGACTTAATTGGATGCCTAATTTCTTTTTATGAATTAATTAAAATTTGGACCGAATTTCTATCCTAACGCGTCATCGTGGCAAAAGCGCGTTATCACGTTCAATAGCTGCGCCATCACGTTCATTAGGCGCGCAATGGTTTTTAGTCATTTAACACTATTGTAAATAAAAACATGTAAAGTACTAAAAAAAATTTCATAAAAAACCTTTTAATAACAAGCTTTTATGTACTAATACACTAAAAAGTAGAAAATAAATTATAGACTACTATTTAAATAACTTTATCGTTATTAAAATAGTTATTTAAATAGAAGTTCAATATAATATAAATTTAAAGAACATAATTTTTTTCTACTTTTTAGTGCATTATTAAATAAAAACTTGTTATTAAAAAGTTTTTTATGAATGTTTTAAACTTATAGAAAGATATGGCTAAAAGTCACAGCATTTCTCTATTTGTTTTACGTGACGCTTTTTTAGTTCATCAATTTTTGACATATTTTCTTTTAAATTTTTAAAAATAAAAACGCTGGTGTGTAATAAATAGTCAGGCAATACACAGGACAAAAGTAGAAAAATTGAATTTTAATAAAAAATATGGGTTAGCTAATCAATGATCAAAATAAACTTTGAAAAATTCTATTTGAACTTGTCGGTAAAAAGGTGTGAGTAGCTCCATATAGCCATACGATGAATTCACGCAGGTAATTATCTCATCAGTAGTGATTAAATTATTAAATAATGGCTTTATGATACTCAAATTTAACTTGACCCTTTCGGTTTTAGCTCCTTCCCATACATGTATAGCAGTGCCATATTATATTTAAAGTATATCAGTAAAGGTAGTTATTGTAAAAGTTTTTATAATTTACTTTTACATGTGTCTCTACTAGAGCGATCGTAAAAAATTTATATGGCGGTCTTTAACAAATTTGTAAAAATGAATCAAACATCACATCACGCATCATCTATATACTACTAAAACTCAAGTTTGTTTACATGTTTGAATATTTATTTGTTTTTTTGTTTGTTTTTTTGTTTGGCTGATTGACTATTGTACATGGTTGCACTCATCGTGGAGAGCTGTAAAATAGTATGTAGGTAGAGAATAATTTTTTATTGCAGACAGACTGTTAATCACAAATTTATTTAAAGACGTTAATTAATGTATTGATTTATTCATAGGTAGATTAACCACAATTTTTTAAAAAGATTTGAAAAACCACTACACTCGACGGAAACAGTGACGTCACATGATGTGTTTATTTTTTTACATCAATAATGGCGGACCATCGAAGAAGATTGTGTTCCCATTCCAATGTTTAACGCGTTCTAAAGCTAATTTTCTGTCGGCTTTAACTTTAACAATACGTCCGTTTGCTGTATTTATTACGTTCCAACACTTATATCAATTTTCAACTGTCTTTTCATTTAGTTTTACGATAAATTTCTCTAGATCTACAATCTGTCCAAGAAAGTTATTTATAGATCTAGATCTAGAATCTAGGTCAAATCAAAGATTTATTAGTTATAAATACAATCCAAAAAAAAAAACGAGACTTAAGCAAAAGACTTAAGCAAACCAGTCGTAAATCTAGAATATAGATAATTCTATCTAGATTTAGATAATAATGAGTTTCTATATACTAAAATATTTTAGACCTTCATTATTTTGTATAAATCTTTGTTTCGACTATGCAAATTTTGAAATGCTGGATCCAGGGCCTATTCGCGTAGCTTAAGATTCATACGCGGCTTCGATACCGGTAATTTTGCTAAATTATAAACATAAATTCTAAATATAGCTCAGTCTTAGATCTAAAATATAGATAATTCTATCTAGATTTAGATAATAATGATTTTCTATATACTAAACTATTTTAGACCTTTATTATTTTATATAAATCTTTGTTTGGAATATTCTAATTTTGAAATGCTCGCTCCATGGCCTATTAGCGTAGCTAATGATTAGATCTAGATTCTAAATCTAATCATTAGCTACGCAAAAACTAAACTTAAGACTTAAGCAAACGAGTCGTAGAATCTAGATCTAGATAATTCTATCTAGATCTAGATAATTTCAGACCTTCTTTATTTTATATAAATCTTAGTTTGGCTAATTTAAGATAAAATTTAATTTGAAAGTTACTACTACTAGACTTAGATCTAGATCTATGCGCGTAAATCAAGTTGCATAAGGAGACTCAAAGTATTAATGTATAGTATAAAAATTCATCTCTGACGTCACGAGTAAATAGCTAAGATGATAGTGTAATCGGCTGTCATGCGGGTGGCACAGGTTCTAAACCAATAGGTCAATGATAATTTTTTTTAAAAATTTTTATTTTATTTTTTAGATGTGAATGATAAAGTTGCCTATCTGAACTTGGCGGGATACAGGGTGAAGTAGAGTTCATCTGTTTCTTTGTCCTAAGCATATGAAGGGATATTGTGGTCAGAGACATGCTCGGCTGGAATCGTTTTTTAAACAATTAAAACATGTTGTCTGAGACTTGGCGGGACACATATGTCCCCGGGCGCCGACCTTAGAGGGCGCCAAAATGGGTTGGAAAAATAAATTGAAAGGTTGAGGGGGGTGCAAATCGAGAGTTTGAGGGGGGGGGGTGCAAATCGAAATCTTGCGGGGGGGGAGGAAGGGGGTTCAAATCGAAAAGTTTGTCCCCGGGCGCCGGGAAGGGTCGCTACGCCACTGGGGGGTGACACCATTAAGTGCCGCACCGGGTGACACCCGACCTCGCTACGCCACTGGCTATTGTCAGCTTTACGTCGTTACAGTTTTGGTTGACATGATTGATCTTCGTCCGTCAAACATGACTATCTTTTAGCTCCCTGGCTATCTTTTAGCTCCCTGTCTATATTTTAACTCTCTATTTTTAGCTCCCTGACTATCTTTTAGCTCCCTGAATATCTTTTAGCTCCCTGACTATCTTTTAGCTCCCTGACTATCTTTTAGCTCCCTGAATATCTTTTAGCTCCCTGGCTATTTTGCAGCTACAATTCATAAAAATGTTATCAGTGGCTATAATTTCATTTTATGCTTCATCTTGTGTAAATAATCTTACAATTAAAATATAAATAAATTGTATTTTACAAAAATGTTTTTGTGTAACTAGATTGTACAATTAAAATGAATATTGGCAAACGTTTTAGCTTACGCAATAATATCTTACTATTAAAAATTTAAGAAAAGAAAACAAATTAGTTTTACTTTCTCGTACATACGAAGTATAGAGAAAGTCATGTAATCGTGCAAAAAAAAAGAGATTTTTACAAATTTCGACGTTTTACACCTCACTGATATGGAAAAACATAATTTTGCAATCTTGTCCGTATGTATGTGTGTGTGTCTGTGTCTGTAAACACGATAACTTGAGTACCGTTACAGCTAGGTTGATGAAATTTCATATATAAGTATTTTATCAAAATCGTAGATCCGTATCAACTTTTGAGCGATTTCAGATAACCAGAAGTGGTACTTTCTTTTTCTTTGAATTTTTCAAAAGCCTATAACTTGAGTACTATTTCAGATAGATAAATAAAATTTCACATGTAAGTAAAAGATCTAATTCTCTATCTTCTATCATATTTTGAGTAATTTCCGTTGACCGGAAGTACTAATTTACGCTATTTCCAATTTCTCATAAACGCATGTAAATTTATAAAGTACTAATAATATTGCTCTCTATTATGCACATTTTGTTTTGGCGTTTGTTTGGTGCGCAATTCTTTTTTCTACTAGATTCTATTCTTTTTTACAAGCTTTTATTTAACTCACTTCCTCTGTCTGTCGTCAGTCTGTCTAGACGGAAACGCAGGAGTGAAAATTCGGACAGTTCTACTTGACCGATACGATTCACAGTTGGCACGTTGGTCAAGACATGAAGACAATGCAATCTGAAACTAAATTTGACTTAATTGGATGCCTAATTAATTTTTTATGAATTAATAAAAATTTGGACCGAATTAGTAGGCATGTCTAGCCAACCACACCACACGCGTCATCACCTTCAATAGCTGCGCCATCACGTAATGGCTGCGTTCAAAAACCATTGCGCGCCTACTGAACGTGATGTTCAGTAGGCGCGCAATGGTTTTTAGTCATGTAACTCTATTGTAAATAAAACATATAAAGTACTGAAAAAAAAATTCATAAAAAACGTTTTAATAACAAGCTTTTATGTAATGATGCACTAAAAAGTAGAAAATAAATTATAGACTACTATTTAAATAACTATAAAGAAAAGCGTGGGTGTCTTCCTTAACATTAGTAAAGGTATCCAATAGATACTAAAGTGACCCACGCTTTTCTTTATAGTTATTTAAATAGTAGTCTATAATTTATTTTCTACTTTTTAGTGCATCATTACATAAAAGCTTGTTATTAAAACGTTTTTTATGAATTTTTTTTACAAGTTTTTATGTGACTCGCATCCTCTGTCTGTCTAGATCGAAACGCCGGAGTGAAAATTCGGACACTTCTACTTGACCGATACGGTTCACAGTTAGCACGTGGGTCAAGACATGAAGACAATGCAATCTGAAATTAAATTTGACTTAATTGGATGCCTAATTTCTTTTTATGAATTAATTAAAATTTGGACCGAATTTCTATCCTAACGCGTCATCGTGGCAAAAGCGCGTTATCACGTTCAATAGCTGCGCCATCACGTTCATTAGGCGCGCAATGGTTTTTAGTCATTTAACACTATTGTAAATAAAAACATGTAAAGTACTAAAAAAAATTTCATAAAAAACCTTTTAATAACAAGCTTTTATGTACTAATACACTAAAAAGTAGAAAATAAATTATAGACTACTATTTAAATAACTTTATCGTTATTAAAATAGTTATTTAAATAGAAGTTCAATATAATATAAATTTAAAGAACATAATTTTTTTCTACTTTTTAGTGCATTATTAAATAAAAACTTGTTATTAAAAAGTTTTTTATGAATGTTTTAAACTTATAGAAAGATATGGCTAAAAGTCACAGCATTTCTCTATTTGTTTTACGTGACGCTTTTTTAGTTCATCAATTTTTGACATATTTTCTTTTAAATTTTTAAAAATAAAAACGCTGGTGTGTAATAAATAGTCAGGCAATACACAGGACAAAAGTAGAAAAATTGAATTTTAATAAAAAATATGGGTTAGCTAATCAATGATCAAAATAAACTTTGAAAAATTCTATTTGAACTTGTCGGTAAAAAGGTGTGAGTAGCTCCATATAGCCATACGATGAATTCACGCAGGTAATTATCTCATCAGTAGTGATTAAATTATTAAATAATGGCTTTATGATACTCAAATTTAACTTGACCCTTTCGGTTTTAGCTCCTTCCCATACATGTATAGCAGTGCCATATTATATTTAAAGTATATCAGTAAAGGTAGTTATTGTAAAAGTTTTTATAATTTACTTTTACATGTGTCTCTACTAGAGCGATCGTAAAAAATTTATATGGCGGTCTTTAACAAATTTGTAAAAATGAATCAAACATCACATCACGCATCATCTATATACTACTAAAACTCAAGTTTGTTTACATGTTTGAATATATTATTTGTTTTTTTGTTTGTTTTTTTGTTTGGCTGATTGACTATTGTACATGGTTGCACTCATCGTGGAGAGCTGTAAAATAGTATGTAGGTAGAGAATAATTTTTTATTGCAGACAGACTGTTAATCACAAATTTATTTAAAGACGTTAATTAATGTATTGATTTATTCATAGGTAGATTAACCACAATTTTTTAAAAAGATTTGAAAAACCACTACACTCGACGGAAACAGTGACGTCACATGATGTGTTTATTTTTTTACATCAATAATGGCGGACCATCGAAGAAGATTGTGTTCCCATTCCAATGTTTAACGCGTTCTAAAGCTAATTTTCTGTCGGCTTTAACTTTAACAATACGTCCGTTTGCTGTATTTATTACGTTCCAACACTTATATCAATTTTCAACTGTCTTTTCATTTAGTTTTACGATAAATTTCTCTAGATCTACAATCTGTCCAAGAAAGTTATTTATAGATCTAGATCTAGAATCTAGGTCAAATCAAAGATTTATTAGTTATAAATACAATCCAAAAAAAAAAAACGAGACTTAAGCAAAAGACTTAAGCAAACCAGTCGTAAATCTAGAATATAGATAATTCTATCTAGATTTAGATAATAATGAGTTTCTATATACTAAAATATTTTAGACCTTCATTATTTTGTATAAATCTTTGTTTCGACTATGCAAATTTTGAAATGCTGGATCCAGGGCCTATTCGCGTAGCTTAAGATTCATACGCGGCTTCGATACCGGTAATTTTGCTAAATTATAAACATAAATTCTAAATATAGCTCAGTCTTAGATCTAAAATATAGATAATTCTATCTAGATTTAGATAATAATGATTTTCTATATACTAAACTATTTTAGACCTTTATTATTTTATATAAATCTTTGTTTGGAATATTCTAATTTTGAAATGCTCGCTCCATGGCCTATTAGCGTAGCTAATGATTAGATCTAGATTCTAAATCTAATCATTAGCTACGCAAAAACTAAACTTAAGACTTAAGCAAACGAGTCGTAGAATCTAGATCTAGATAATTCTATCTAGATCTAGATAATTTCAGACCTTCTTTATTTTATATAAATCTTAGTTTGGCTAATTTAAGATAAAATTTAATTTGAAAGTTACTACTACTAGACTTAGATCTAGATCTATGCGCGTAAATCAAGTTGCATAAGGAGACTCAAAGTATTAATGTATAGTATAAAAATTCATCTCTGACGTCACGAGTAAATAGCTAAGATGATAGTGTAATCGGCTGTCATGCGGGTGGCACAGGTTCTAAACCAATAGGTCAATGATAATTTTTTTTAAAAATTTTTATTTTATTTTTTAGATGTGAATGATAAAGTTGCCTATCTGAACTTGGCGGGATACAGGGTGAAGTAGAGTTCATCTGTTTCTTTGTCCTAAGCATATGAAGGGATATTGTGGTCAGAGACATGCTCGGCTGGAATCGTTTTTTAAACAATTAAAACATGTTGTCTGAGACTTGGCGGGACACATATGTCCCCGGGCGCCGACCTTAGAGGGCGCCAAAATGGGTTGGAAAAATAAATTGAAAGGTTGAGGGGGGGTGCAAATCGAAAGTTTGAGGGGGGGGGGGTGCAAATCGAAATCTTGCGGGGGGGGGAGGAAGGGGGTTCAAATCGAAAAGTTTGTCCCCGGGCGCCGGGAAGGGTCGCTACGCCTCTGAGTGACAGACATGATGTTTTCTGATGGATGACCCCCGAAACCCACAGTTATCCAACGGATGACGGGTAGTCTAGTTAAATTTAAAACTGTGAGTCGAGTTTGAAAGAAATTGTTTGGTACAAGTAGGTGAAATTTCGATCGAAGTTTTCAACCCATAACGGACAAGACACGATAGAAGAATCAAAGTTAAAAAATTATTTCAATAAACGCTTCAGATAAAAATCTTTCATAAAAGCTTGAAATAAAATCTATAAATAAACGGTTTAAAAATAAATTCTTGAATAATAAACGCTTGAAATAGAATCTTGTAAAATGAGATAATGATGAGTGATGGTCTCGCGCCTTAATTAAAGTAGCAGACGTAGAGCAGACGTCTCTCAATGACTGCGGTTGCCTCACACCAACAGCACGTTGTGAGCTAAGTGTACAACTAAAGAAGCCAGGAAATACTCAATTTGATAAAAAGAAAAGTAAAATGTTTTACTCTACAATAAAAATAAAAATTCTAAATGTTTTGTTCTACAATAAAAAGAAACAAAAGTTGTGTAACAGGCCAAATCCAAAGCAAAGACACGACAAAATCAAGTCATTTATAGACAAAAGCGTGAAAGCACGAGAAAGGCGTAGAAGCTCTGGTTGTTCTTTAAATTTGATCATGATTTTACACACCACCGACAGATCCAGCACGACGCGAATGGACGTGGTCCGGCCACTGATGTTTGGGTTGTTTGAAACAGCTGGTGGGTGAAAACATGGACCAAAACATTTGCTGAAATTTTGAGCTCATTTTAAGGTAAATAAAAATACTGACTGTAGAGTTAAGGGAGGTGATGTTGAAAAATACAGAAAAACTTGCTAAAAAAACATTGATTTCCTTCCCTTTGACGCTGTAGTCTTTAACACAAAGTAGAACGGTTGAGCCGACAAGCCCAGGAAATGAGCAGACGATAAACACCACGGATATAAATAGAACCATTTTAACCAACGCGCTGTCTCTTCTGGAGATGATATTATTTTTAGAAGCTGATGACGCCTGTTTCCTCCACTTGGAAATGTCCACAAATTTCTGTATCAAGCCAACAGTAAAGATGACGACAAGAGCAAACACGGCCAGCTCGACAAAAATGATGACAACGACACTGATGTTTTCAAGAACTTCAGAGTTTTCAATGGTGATTAGGCCGAACACAGTTGAATTGTTGACTTTGTTAAATTTTGGTCCGATTTTGTAAGCGACAAAAGCCGGGATGACACAGCCAATCATACAGCCGAAAATAACACAGGAAACCATGGCTGTTCGCTTTGGTGTGATGAGGGCCTTGACCTTCAGTGGCACAGCTATACAGAGGAATCTTTCCAGACTTATAAAAGCTGTCAGACAACCGGAAATACGGCTAAACATCAAATGAGGCCAACCCAGGATTAGATAACCAATGGCGTTAATAAGATCAAAGTTTGGTGTATCTTGTAAGATATCGGGGGTGGATATGACCATGTTACCAACCATCGTGATGTGTATACCGATGTCCGCTATGGCAAGACTCAACAAAGAGATGTTGATGGTATCGGTGAAGCCCAGTTTGATGAAGACGATGATACTGATACTGTTGAAAATAAAACCAGCAATGTTGATTACTCCACCGATAATGACCAAACTAATCATAAGAAAATAACCGAAGGTTACTTCATCCATTAAACCAAAGTGGCGAGTGATGAAGTGACTGGTGGTCAGATAAAACGTTGTGTTGGCCACATTATAATCCATACCTGCTACCACTGGCTTCAATTCTTGAATTATTGGCAGCCCACATTCGTCGATCCAGTGGTCTACGTAGAGGTTTAGCTTAAATAATGTAATGTCAATTAAAATATTTTGATCCTATCACTTTGTGTTTAAATAACATTGACTAACTAGTTGTCTAATGTGGCAGTAAAGAACCATAACTATGTTTTGCCCAGGCTTCAAAAGTTGAACCTCTCGCCCGTGTAAAATTTATCATCTGACTCAGGTAACTCTCACATATTGTTTTTATTCATGTTTTTTTTCCAGAAATGTCTCCCATCTAACTATAAACATCGGCTTTGTTTTCTTGTAGTCAGATATTAATTGCACACATTATCTGAGACACCTGTGTCATTATTTTCCCAACCTAGACTGTTAATTAAAATAGTAGACTAATTAAAATAGATCAATCAATCTACATCAAAACAGTAATTTTAAAATCCCAGACACCATCATTAAATTACTGCGTTCTATAGTTAGATGTCGAGCGTGTAATTACTAAAATAAAAACTTATAACCACAGTATTAGAAAATCGTGGATGTAAAAGTAATAATTAGTAGAAAAAAATGTAAAAGAAAAAAACCACGGGTGTAGTAACAACTTAGATGTGAAGCCCCACCTTCTGTATTAGACAAAAATGATTGGACTAACGAGTTTTTTGTTTCCGTCGTGTTAGTGTCAGTCGCGCAATGTCAGTAAATTTATCATACAGTTTTTTAACTAAATTATAAAAAAGAAAGTAATTACTTTGTTAAGAAATAAGATAATTATTTTGCATAGATGAAACAAAATTGACTAAAAGTGCAAGATATTCAGTGAGTTAAACTTTCAAAAACAAAAAGCTACGACAACACAGTTGTGCACTGTCTGGGGACTAGGCCAGGGTAAACTTGACCACCCGGGCTGGTTCACTGACTTTACAAACACTCTACTAGAAACATATATTTTTAATCAGTTGTGTTGATTTCATTCGAACAATTCTTTGCGAATTAGTTGCCGTTTGCGAAGACATTGGTGGCAAAATTTAAGATCGTCATAGAAGTTGTCTCCCTTGTTTGAGCATCAGTGAATTAATCTCTTGCTTGCATTATTTCTAATCTCATGATGGCCTTGTGGCTGTAATACGAACTGAGCTGTTAACTTTTGTGAGGTCTGTATCACTAAAGTTTTGGTAGACTTGATAGATGTCCGGCTGTTGAGATTGATCTTCTCTATCTTGTAGTACCATGGCAATGTTGCAGCCCCTGATCAAGTTTGACAGACAGCAGGTTTGGCTGCAGCTATTCTATGCCTTTGTTACATTATTTTCTATTTTTGGAGCTTTCAGTACTGTCACGTTATCTACACAATCACACTTAAGCCTGCATGTTATTGTCGTTTAAAACCATTGATTTCTATCTAAAATTGTTTTTTTTTTCTGGTCGATCTCAATAGGAATAACAAACAAATAAATGATCAGATCAAACGTCAACATAATAACAATAAATGACAACCATTGGCGAGCGTTGGGAGTTCCCACTGTGGTCCATCTATGTGGGAGATTTTAGAAAATACTAGACGACCCAGTTTACCGTTGGAATACGGTTTGTCGGTTGCACTGCACAACACAAACCAATATCCTATTACGCTTACCTCACTCTTTATAAAGCCTTTTAACCCCAATAAATTCCACTTCAACGATACTATTTCCCATCAGGGGCGAAACTTCCATGCCGCTAGCGGTATTTTGGTCTGATGTTTGGTTTGTAAAAACCACACTGTATCTGTGGTATTATTATCTTTATTTTAAAGTCACTATACCACGCTCTGCCACAAGTATTAAAATCCATTACACAAACTGTTGTGTCAAATATAGGCAAACCTTCAAATTTTAGTGAAATCCGTCATTCGTTGATCCACTTTGACAGCTAAATAGGAGCACGTAATATGTGCACACATTGGCATTATAACTGTTCGACAGGACCTTCAAAGCGTTCTATGGCGGGAAAGGGCAGAGGGTAGGGACCAAATAGTGGGCTCAAAAATTGTTGCCAAATTTATTTAAATAAAAGAGTTGTTTATGATTATATTTCATTTTTGTACCATTGTTAAGCCCGAGTTCTATTTCTCCTACCACCAAACACATGCTGTCGCCGGCAAAATTCTTAATTCATTCAATATCCGAACGGATTTATTGACTTACATAATTCAGTTACAAACCCGGTTACTTTTTTTTTTTTTGCTACAAAAATTATTTCCAATGTTCCGTGTCTAGATCAGTACATAATATAATGAACACAAGCATTAATTTATTTATATTCTCGAAATGGAAGATCTGTAAAACGTGAACTATTGAAAATTGTTGGAACTTAATAGTAATAGGAATAACATTAACGTTCAATAAACTACGTTTGTTTAAAGTTTTAAAAAATTTACTATGACTGCATAGGTGACCCGAGTGACAGGACCGCTGGCCGATGTCGTCTCAGTTATGACTACAGATAAAATAAAATCTGATTAATTTACTCACCGAAACAATTTTGATAGAGGCTACTCTTAACTGTAAAAAAAAAATAACTACGCCAAATACTATGCCAAATGTATATATATATATATATATATATATATATATATATATATATATATATATATATATATATATATATATATCCTAATTTAACCTATTCCATTGCTAATAAACAAACAATCATAATTTATATAAAATAATTAACGCCTGAAATATTTTAGTCAAAAACTCAATTATTCTTTGCTTTTTTGTATAATTTAACTGTTTTTACGTAATTATTTTTGCTTCGCCTAGATTCTAGATCTACTTGTTCTCTGACAGCTAAAAACTGGTTAAATCTAGAGTATCGGTAGATCTAGAGACACTCTTTGTACTCTAGAATTAGACGATCCGTAAAGCTTATCCTAATGAAAATTGATACATTTTGGAACCTGATAAAAATATCAAACAGACATATTGTTAAAGATATAGTAGCTGACAGAAAATTTATCTTTGTAATGTATTAAATCGGCTTGTGAAAACTGGCAAAGACGCCGGATATGGCCGCCAGTTCAGTTGGTTTAGTTTAATCATCGAATGTTGTGTGCCACCATGTCCCTATTGTATGGTGCTCTTTAAAACGAATGTGGGCGTTACTGGTGCCCAGGATGCTGCAGGTCAACAGAACAGAGCGCCGGCTAACGCTACTGATACAACACAGTAAGTGATTATAGTATCAAGTGCATTGCACTCATTAAAGCGAACGTAAGCGCAATAGTTCTCAAAGACGGGGGGGGGGGGGGGGGGGAGGGCGTTAAATCGCATCCCGCATGGCAGGGGCTGATTAAGTTTGAGCGGGCCCACCTGGCAGAATTTTTTTCGGGCCCCTACATGTGTGTGGTCGTTTGTGTGTGTGTGTGTGTGTGTGTGTCAAATGAAAAATACTTTAACAATAAGTAAACAAATGATAGTGAAAATACGCAAGTATTCCAAGATAGGAAATAATATATAAACTATTGTTATTTTAGCTAGAGAGTAGATACATACTTAGCTCTTGTGTCACGTGGCTCTCTCTATATATATTTTCTATACCACTATAGTTTGGATATCCGCACATACATGTGCAAATTAAACAAAAACGAAGAAAGGAATACATATATACAACACATGCCATTAGAACAGACGAAAAATGATTTTGAAAAGCCATAGTTCGGTTGACAGATGATGAAACAATCGAAGAATGTCTTAACGAAATTTGAAAACACCTCTCCATACCTTTCTAAAAAGGCCTACTGCTGTAAACATATTAGGGTTATAGTGCTGCTTGTCTGGATCAAATGGAAGGCTCAGGGTTACAATAGATATGTCACTGTTTATTATGTTTGTATGTGTGATCAGTCCACTTAACAACTGCATTATCTTTTTAAAAATTTGGTTACCACCGCGCTAGGCGATCAGCAGGGTAAAACAAGTTAATTAAAAAAGTCTAGTGACATTTATGCGCAATTTCCTTATGTTATCTAAAAATAGCTCTGACGTATAATGCTGGGGAGCGTTCAAGCTAGAAGAACGATTGGTTTGTAGGTGTTTATGTAATTTTAAAATTTGTGCCCGAACGAGAGGATATTTTTGAAAACTTTCTTCGGCAATATTGTTCTAAATTATGGCAGGAATCGATTGGTACATGTTTCAAGTCGCTAAGTGGTCTGGTTGCCGAGATATGGGCAAAAAACTGCATTTTTTCGAGGTTTTTTTTTGGCTTTTCCGGGAAATACATGAAAGAAACCCGGAATTTTTATGGCCTATGCTGATCCTCGTAACTTGCTTAACATAATTGCTTTTGGAACTAGTCATCGATATTGCTTCGTTGAGGAGGAGATACGACTTAAAGCTGCGGACACACATCCATCCATCCATCCATTCATTCATACATCCAGAAATGACGGGTTGATAAACGCAATTCTCCAGAATGGAAATTGCGCTAAAAAGTAATTAATTAAATTGTTAAATAATTAAGCTAGGGGATGTAATTTTTAAAAAAATTCAAATCAAGCTAATTTTAAAAAATGTGAATGCAGATTCCGCGGACTTTCAAGCGGGCATTATTGTTGGAATAATAAACTTAGCATGGATTGATCAAGTACAATATTGTAGGTAAAACACGGATATTTTAAATACTGCCTTTTATTTATTTTATACACTGAACGTACTGTTTACTAATTATTATTTTTAATCAATAACAATTTAGATGCCGCTCCTAAATGTCCTCTTTGTTTACTTCTATCTTTCCGTATGCGGATAAGTTTGGGGTATTATAGTCTTTCACTAAATTGAATCAGGCGCGTTCGCCGGTGCCCCGGTAGAGTCGATTTGGCGCCCTGGGCTATCCTGTAAGCCATATGGTGCATATTTCCTTTTTAAAGTGTGCGATAAGCTGTGGGTAGAAAGAGTTACTATAGTCGTTCACTAAATAGAAACTACGGCGTCTTCTGGCGC